AAACCGGCTTAAGCTCTTGTGAAGGTTTGGAGATGGGGATGAGGGCAAGGCAGGAAGCTCCTGGGGGAGGGCGAGCAGCACCCTGTCCCCAGCTCACACTATTGTGCTTTGTTTGACCCCCACAATTGTGTGAGCGGTGCCCGGCGCATCAGCCTTCACTTCGAATTTCCTGCTTTTTGTCGGCTCACATCCCAGAGACTGTTGTTCAAAACACGGCTCTTATTATGGAGCTTGCAGAAAAGAAACTCCTGCCCCATAAAGATGTGCCCGGGCATTTAATCGGGTTCCCAGCGCCAGGACTCCTGCTTTAAGAGGATGTGGGCTATTGAGATGCAAAGAGGCATGCCAAACACCCGACTGGGTCTCTGGATGGTTAGGCTTGGCTACTGTAGTCACAGAAGCTGTCACAGAAGCCACTCGATAACTGCCCCTGTGTGCAGCCGTCCAAGAACCAGCTTGTGACTTGTTCCACTGGGCTGACTCCTCAGCAAAGATTGTCTTAATCATAGACTGTACAATGTCTCTTACCCAGATTTGCAGAGGATTTGGCTTTATAGAACAGGCTCCCAATTCACAAAGCTCCTTCCTTCTCCTCTTGCTCCTGCTCTCTTATTGAGCAAATCCAGGATTTTGTCTGAGTCCATCCTCTTTGGCTCTTGGACCTGACCACATGGCCCAGTCTGAGCTCTCAGACTATGCTCTAGGTGCCTGGGTTTGCAGGAGAGAGACCTGGGAGGAGGGATGGAAACCATAGAAATAGTTAACGCTTGTGGCAAGTCAGACCACCGTGTTGGGCTTGGCACAATATTGCTAGTCCCCCAGGATTTGGCAAAGGGAGCCCCCAAAAGAAATAAAAAAAGCTGCCCTAAAACAGCTTAGAGGATTTTGCCTGCCTCTACTCTGCACTCAGCGCTGCTGGACATCCCCATCCCTGCAGTGAGCATTAACCTCCCCCTCACCGACCTGGCAGATCTTGTGTGCTGAGCGGGAGCCTTCCTCAGCCAGCACCCTCCCTATGGCATCACACACAGCAGCAACACAGTGCCCGCACATTTCTTCTGCCTCAGGAAGTCTTGGCCTGCCAAACCTGCTGGTCATTTACACCTGACCTCTTGGAGCTGGAGGGAAGCAGTAATGATTTGCCATGTGGTGGGAAAAACCCCCAAAGTAGAGCATACCTCTGTGCTGCCTCTTGTCTCTACACATCATGGAATCCAGCACATGCAGAGTCATCTCCCTCCTCTGCTCTGCTGAAAGCAAGTCCCATGTCATCCCAGAAACTCTGTCTGTGAGTTCATCTATGAAATATTTATTCCCCTTGCGTGCAAGAGAAAAAGAATCAAAAAGCCTGCGTAGTATTGATGGAATCCCTGATAGCCAAATATTGAATTATTTACAGCCTAAGTGTGCAAGCAATACTCATGAGATTGCTTAGGCTGCAAGACGCAATTAATACATTTTGCAAAATTGGTGACTTCTGCTTCAGACTTCGTTTTCGTGCATTGGTGAGTCCCTAAACAACAGGTGAGATCACTTTGCAGGAGAAGAGCATCCAGAGACACACGAAATACCCAGACATTTCTCAGAGCGGTGCTCTGAGGGCTCTCAAACCACCAACAAGCTGCCTGCAGGTACACATCTGGAGCCATTTCAAATGCTCAAGTGAATCTTACCTGGCTGCTGGCTGCTGTTCCAGATCCACAGATTTCCCACAGGTCTTCTGTTACACCTGAAACTCCCAGGGAAAAGCCCTGCATACCCTGAGGGATCTCAGATGACATTAAATACATACTTGGAAAACACAGAATCGAGCCTATGTGACCACTGGCCCCAGCAGACCACCCGGCGCAGGGAGCAGTGACCAAGAACTGTGGCACTCCCTGTGCCACTGCATCCTTCATCTCCTTTGTACTGTAACGTTTGCTGTGTGGCTATAATGCAGTACTTTGCACGTGGACTAAAGGTCCTCCTCTCTGCCCAAGCTTACAGCAGATAGAGTGGGTTGGCTGCGGAACCCCAACTCACAGAACCTGGATTTCCAGACATGGAGGTTTTCTGTCCAGCCCCAAGTGTATGAGTTGATGTGGCAGCTCTCACAGGGCCTTGGCTATTTCTCTAACACCAAACTTCTCTCAAGCTCTCACTAGTAAATACATATCTGAACCCTAACATATGGAGTAGTCCACAAGTTGTGTGTCTTATAACACTTTTATATTCATTGTATTCTACTCTTAATAGAGCTTTGGGGAGATCACCTCCTTCCCAAGCACTTCAGCGGCTTTTAGTGACCATCCCTTGAAATCACTGGAGCTGAACAAGGCTCTGGGCAGTCCCTCTTGGCCTTAGGATGGTAACAAGCAAAAATAAAACAACAAAAAAGGAAAAGTCTGAGCCAGTATTACAATGCCATCTTCTCTATGCCTAATAATGCTCATTTCCTCTTGAGACAAGACACACCATGTATGTCTAAACCCGTCAGCCTATCCCAACGTACAAATTCTAGTACAGCTGTAGGTTTAAAGAGCCAGCCAAAATTAATTATGACAGATTAAGAAACAGAGCAACATACTGCAATAGCCTCTCATTAAACTGAAACATCTGATCCAAACCAAGCAATTTCAGCCCCTCATTAAGCTCTTGCTTGTCTTGTTCACCATCGTTAGCATTTCTCTGCAGAACACCATCATCTGAACATGGTTCTTGACAAGAGGAAGCTATTTGGTTATCAAATACAAGTAAATTTGCAAGGTTTTACCCTCTTCTCTTTTAATTTTGTTTGAAAGTATATATTGAAAGCAAGGTAAGGCTATGGCCAGCTCTACCTTCTGAATTCCTGTTTAGTAGAAGAGGAACCAGATTGCTCTGCGACAAGCCAATGCAGATTTACCCAGGGCCTGAAGGTGACATTAGGTCACTTGGACCATCAGCTCTTTAAAAAACAAGCCCCAAGTGCCCTGGTACTGGATCCTTCTCCACACTATCTCTGACCACAGCAGAAGTCCCTTTCCATTGGATGCTTCATAGAAAAAAAACCAAGCTACTCACCAGCATGGCTGGTGCTTTTGGTAGCGCAAGTACCACCAACCAGTGTCTTGCAACCCAGGTCTCGAGGTGCAGGGAAGATGCTCTTGGTTTGCTAACAGCCCTGAATATGAATAGGGTGAGTTAGATGGCAGTAGGCTTTGTATCTCTGCTATTTTGAGCACTCTAGATTTGTTAGAGATGCGATCCCTATTGGAAAACACTCCTTGCTATAAACAAATTGATGAACATAGAAGAAAACAAGCATGCTTTCCCCATTTGCCACTACTCATCTTCAGTTAATAATCTGCTCCTTTCCCCTCCTCCCCCATTATTCCATAATATGTTAGTTGCTAAAGAAGCTAAAGAAACAATTAAAATGCTTCAGAAAAAGCAGATAATTTCTCACACGCAGTGCTGAGTACTCAGCAGATGTGACTCAAGATACACACATGCTGTTTCCAAGCAAGTATTCCCAAGGGTTTAGATAAAAATAATAAGGATGAGGGGTTTCAGCAGAAATCAGGTTATTTTTAAGTAGAAAGGCTCTAGGGGGTATTAGCAGGGCTCTCTGAAAATGCCATCATCTTCTTTTATGGGGAATCCCATAGCATTATTTGTGTATAATTAAAAAAAATTAAACCAGTAGCCAGGCTAGACAGGAATCGTGGCAGGAAAGTGGTAACGGGGTGCAGCAAATTGGGTTGGTTGCATATATCAGACACCTTCTGATTTACCAGAGGTTTTCAAGGCAGAACAAATGAGATGCCCACAGGGAGCTCTTCATGCCCAGAAGATACCGGTGTGTCTCAAAAGCCGGGATTTGACCCAGGTGATTTCGGTTACTGCTGTTCAGCCAACAAGGAAACAACGCAGTGGGAGAAATGCTGTGATGGTCTGGAGCCAGATCTCAGCTGACACAGGGTATTGCAACTTTACTGAAGCATATGACCCATATCCAATGGGTCCATGAAAGATGTTTCTTCCCAATATCCTCCCCCTCTTAATCCATTCCCAGCATCTGCCATCACACAAATGGAGACAGAGGCAGTGGAGCCAGAATTAGAGTAAGCGGCTTGCTGAACCCTCCGCAGGGATTTGCCATCTTCTGGCAGTGATGAAGACTGGAGAAATTAGGAAAATGTTTTCATTAGCCTCACTCACCTGAAAAATAATCAGCAGCCAACTCCCATTTTAAAAGGTGGCCTGGCAAAGAGTCAAGAAATGAAATCCAGTGGCAAATGGGTTGCAAAGATAAACATAAACATCTAAGTCTGTGATGATCCACAATCTCAAACAGATCTTCAATATCCAATACCAGGATTCTCAGCACTCAGTTACATAAATCTCAGGCATTCATACTTTGCCAGTATTTTAAGTCATGCCCATAAAGCATGTTTGAATAGGATTCAAGCTGATGAAAAGAAAGTTGTTAAAGGGGTTTGGTGACCCTGTGAATTGAGCCAATGGCTTCAGTCCAGCAGATGACAATCCATTAAATTAAAGAAAAATTTGACACTGCAATTCTTAGTGCCAGGAAAGTTGTGAAAGAAAACGTGGCCCCTCCAAGACGTGCACGGCCGTATTTCTGGTGCCACAGATGGCGGCTTGAATGGTTGCAGGTTTTTTGCCTTGCCTTTTCATAAGGCATAAAGATATTTAGTCTCCACTGTTTTCAGGGAGACATTTTTGATATAGTAAGCTTATGAAGAGACACATCCCGCTTGTGTAATTTTCAGAACATCTCTCCCTTTCAAGTCACCAACTCTCAGTGAAGGGGAAAGAAGAAATGAAGAAACATTGAGCCAAAGCCCATAAACAGGGTTTTTTTGGTGTGTGCAAGATGAGCCTGGGAAACGCAAAACAATTCATCTGCCCAAGAGCGGCTTTGCAGGGAGAGGTTAAGGAATAATAAAGAGGGATTTAGATCTCACCACTTTACATGCATTTATGAGGGAGAAATTTAACACCCAGATAACAAATTCAGTTCAGGTTTTACTTCCTCTCTCCCTCCCCCCCCTCCTTAAAGATGACATACCCTTCATTTGTAAATTACTTTAATTTAAATACTTCCAGGTTAACAAAACGTCTTAACTTTGACATGCCCCAAGTTACAAAACAGAAACAAAACCTCTTGACAAAGGGTAAGAAAAAAGAAAATATAATCCAAGCTCAAACCTCCTCTCCTAAGCTGGAGTTTATGGTCTGTGAGCTGGCTGCCCTCCAGAGTCTGACACAATGTCTGGAGCACCCAGAGCAGCTGGAATTCATTTTCTTCCTCCAAATCTATGCACTTTCATATGAAGTTGTGTTTTGGCACTGCTGCGTAAGAGAGAGTTCAGTGCAAAAATTCTAACCCCAGCTGTGTTTCTTTGCAACCCAACACTCGCTGAGCAAACAATGAAAAAGGAGAAGAGGGAAAAAAAAAAACCCAGAGAAAGAAAAGCCCTTTCCCTTCCCCCACACATACACAGACGACTGTACCAAACAGGGGGCTATTCATGGCTGTTAAGAAATGGGTCACAAGGAGAAATGTTTGCAGATAAAGCCAACACTTTTTTTTTCTTCTTCCTTTTTTCTTTTTTTTTTTTTTTTTTTTTTTTTTTAAATAAACATCATGGAGGCCCCTGGAAGGCACTGGGGATGTTCGAGAGTCAAGGTCCTGGCTGATCCCTTCCGCCTCCCATTCACATGGCTCCCACGCTGGCCCCGACACGCAGCCCCTCTTCCCGGGAGGGTCCGGGCCACCTCTTCCGAGCCTGAGCTGCCATGGGGAGCCCAAGGGGGCAGCAGGATCTGAGCAGGCATCGCACTGCTGCCCCTAGCCTGGGTTGGCGGTGGGTCAAGGGAGGAGGAGGGAGGCACCCAAGGCACTCCCAGGCAGTCCCGTCACAAAATCACGCACTGGAGTTTGTGGGAGCCCGTGGCTCTGTCCCCTCGCCATTTGGTCTTTTTCTTCTTCTTCTGGCTTTTCTCTGGGATCTGTTGCCTGTTTTGGGACATGGAGAGGAAAATAAGCAGCTGAGACAAGGCTGGGTGAGACATCAGCATCCAGAGCCTGAGGCAGCCAGCAGAACAGCATCTTGGTGTGCATATGCATATTTGCACATATATATCTCCATATACCCTTCCACCACCACGTGGCTTTTCATGCCACACAGCTAACAAAGTATTTTTTAAGGAAGGAGGAAAGAAGCCATAAGCAAACATTAAGGCTAATGGAAGGGATGTGTGTCCTCCCAGGGCATTGTGCCTCCAGTTGCCCTGGGTGAACTCCTGCCTCCCCTGCTGCCAGGGGGCTGCTCTGGGAAAATGGGATGCTCTAAGCAACATCAGCCATAATGCTTGTTAGGGAAGAGGATGAAAGATATACATAATGCACAGAGAAATAAACTGTCCTGGAAAGATTTACACTGCTGTGGACTTCGTTATGGACTGGGGTTCAAAAATAATAACGAAAAGCCAGAATCTGCCACTGATGGGGCTCTGGTCTCCCCTGGAAGCTGTGAAGAGCACCAGAGCATGGACAGCTGGGGTGTGAGCTGACCCCAGAAAGATGTCCCTGGCTGTCTGAAGTGACAGCCACCAGAAACACGCAGCTGAGAGCACTCCTGCACTGTGTCACGGCAGCCCCCATCAGTCAGGTGGGTTGTGAGCAACCTCTAAAATGAGGGCTTCTCCATTTTCATTGAGATGAGATATTGCTCAAATGTCTGTTTACAGCAGCCACTCAGCTAGCCCAGCAGTGCAAACTCAACAGAAGAAGGCTTTGTAGTTTAAACACCTGATAGGCAGCCTGTAGACTTAAGATTTTAGTGCAAGATAAACCAACCATACCAACACTGGCAGCTTCCATAGATTCAGTGTCTAAATAACCAGCCTGAGAGTTTGAAGAGCTCAAAACCAGCCTCTTTGCTATGTAATATGCTACACACTAAACAGAGTCTTTGTTGACCAAGTTATCCAGACCAGAATGAGACATAGCTGGGAAGAAATCATTATGGTTTTATTTGGTGTTTTTCTTACAGCCTCAGCTTCCAAATGTTTGCAACCATCTGAAAAACTCAGCTTTGACTAATAAGATTTTTTTCCAGCAAGTGAAGGCTGGAGGCATGAAAAACATGAAACTTTAAAGCTCAAAACTAGAAAGCCGAAATTAAAAAAATACTTTTAAGTTAATTTGGATATACCTTAAGTGGCCACAAGCTGTTCACAGTGTTCTAGAACTATTTTAGAGATCCAGAAAGCTACGTCCCGCACCCACTCAAGATTTATGCTATGATGACACTTGTGTATGCGCTGCTGCACCATAAAAGGTGTATCAGGAAATTTAAAAGATTCATCAGGTGGACTCAGTCACCTCACTCCTTTCTGGATTACTTTCAGACAACAGTTTCTTGCAAAAAAATAAACAAACTGGGAATCAGCCAAGTGCAAGGAGCACAAATGGTGCCAGCCCTGAATGAGCGTCCTACCCCACAAACTCACACAGGCTGTGAGGAGCCTGGAGTAAAGTACTCCAGGAATTACACAGTTATTGGGGAGCTGCAAATTTAAATTTTATTTGGAAAAGCTTATGTGAAAAAAGAAAAAAAAACTTGGTGAGTGATGCCATCCTATGGCTGTGCACAGTTTGCAATGTCCAAGGACCAAGCAAAGGTGCTTTGTGACAAATGACCAGCCAGATCACACAGCATCTCTCTGCTCTCTGACTTAACCTGACTTTGAGCTTTTGTGAACATCTCTGGTGGCCCTGGTGCCATGAAGGGCTTCATCTGGCTAGCAATGACTTTGATGGTCACTACTCATGGAACTGAGGTACATAACCTATTTTTGAGGTTATGGAGTGTGTTTTCAGGGCTTGAATTTAGTGATGTCTCATTAGAATGCTCCTTCCAGCCTGTCTGGAGTCACATTATGTAGGGAAGGCAAACAGAGCCTCACCATCTTATTTTGCCTATGCTTTTTTCCCCCCAGAGTAGAATAAATGCTGGTAAAACAAAAGTAATCTCTAGCCAGCTAATGCTGAGCTACAGAGCAGTTGGAAAATAGCTTGGGATGTTTCCAGCTCAGCTCTGCAGTTCTCCAAAGACTTTCTGCCCCCTGCTTTTGCGACATGTGGGAAGAGTGGGCAGTACCATCTGCTTTTGATGGAGGCTGACTCGAGGCTGCACTAAGATATTCACAAGTACAGATATGCTGTGAATAAATGCCTCATGGTTTAATTGCCGAGTGAGGCACTTTGACTGCATGGCGGGGACGAGCATGATTTCAGCTCAGCACCCTCCCAAAACATGAAAAATGAGGGCCCAGAAAAATCTGGCAGACAATTGGTGCCAGAAAAACAAGTCTTCTCAGAGAGATTTGAGGTTATCAGCTGAGACGCCAAGATGTGCATGCAGTTCTCTTCCTGCAGGGCAGCCATGATTTTGGAAGGCAGTCCCTCCCTGTCGGCAGCCGGAGCAGGGGTTCGCCTGGAGAGCAGGCGTCTGCCAAAGCGAGCAAAGGCAGTTCATGCCAAAACTGGGAATAAACCTCTGCAGTCTGAGAAGGAAACCTGTGGCTTAGCCATTAGGTCACGCTGTTTCTCCTACAAAGCTGCTTAATTTTTTCCATTTAGTGAGCAGAAAATATTAGAAGTCACCTATAACATTAGAATTTAGTAGAATTTTTTTGCCAGTCCTATTTAACCTCTGCCAATGTGAGACCCTGAGAGGACAAAGCTATGAAAACCCAAATTACTGGTCCAGATCTTTTAATGCCAACCTTTTAAAGCTTATCATTATAGTAGGCTTTGCACTGTTCATTGAATAAGATATTATTATCATGGCCACAGTTGGTTCTCAACCTGCCTAGCGCTGATGTCCTGCAAGGGTGACTAAGTGTTAGTAACATCCTTATGCAGATACAGGACAAGAAAATTTAAAAAACCGCAGGAAATCTCCCACCCCCAACCAAACAATCTGGCCCTTGCTCCCCAAAAATTGGCTCCTGTCTCTCTGGGCCAAGCATATGCTGATAATGGGCAGTGAGCAAGTGAGGAGTTTACAGCTTACCTTATGACCCTCACGAGATCATGGAAGGCCTTGTCAACATTTAGAGGTGGGTCCTTGGCGCTAGTTTCTATGTAGGGAATCTGGAGGAGAGAAGTGTATCATGAAAGCGATCAGTAACAGCCTACGTGTTGGTAGCAAACCAGTTTCAAAATGAAAAACCCTAAAGGCTGGAGAAATCGGGTGCCTAAGAGACAGGGGAAATACAGGTAAACAAAGCGTTGTCATGACACTGCTATCAACACCTCCACACTCACAGCAAGGTCAGCAAGCGCTTACAAAAGGTCTGGAAAAAGCACCAGGCAAACCAGCTGCTATCAGAGCTCTGGGTTTGGGGAAGAATAATCATAGACTTCATGTCCTCAGATATTCTCTCCCTCTGCACTGAGGTAGCAGATATGAAAATAGTCAAAGGTTGTTGAAAGAGGAGCACTTGCCAAAAATTCTTGCTTGCCACATTTTATTAGGACTACTGCATGAATATTTCATGACTACAATTCCTCTTCAGTGTAAAGTGATCTTCTCCTTCAAAGTCTGACAGCCAGATGGGGCCTCCTAGAGCACTTGTCCAGCATGCTGGCAGATTTATAAAACTGTTTCTGATAAGGTATTTTCGTACATGGCCTTTTGCAAAGCGTGTGTGTACAGATGGGTGCAACATGCTGCAGTTTAGGTGTCCTGGCTCCTACAGAAATAAGCTTCCTTGGGAAGGGGGTGGAAATGAACCTGCCCTGCCAAACACCCATCATGGCTTGTTTAAAACACCGCACAGTTTGCCCTTTAGGCACAGCAAGCTGCCAAGTGGTCTCAAGCTTGTTTGCCTTTACCTTTCCATTCAGTTCCTCCTACGGGAGTCGTTACCTCCCTCTGGGTGTTCAGGGCTGCTGGCATTTAGAGGTGATTAGTGGAGCATCATGTTGTCTACACTCATCCAAGACCAATTTCTCAGGCTAAACTATGGCATGAATAATGCAGCGCTAAGATGGTGAGCCAGATTTATATAGGCTTAACAACCCTGTAATTTCATTATCTTGAACAGGCTCACTTTCTTATGGACACCTGGGTGTACTTCCTAATGCTCGACTCTACCTTTTCACTGCAGGAGGGTGCACTTTCTTCTCTCCTTTTGAACATTTCACGTTTCTCACTGCTTGCAGACACCTTGTACACATGGCTTCATGAAGGCCACAGCTTTGCTACAGCCTGCTGCACAGTAAATGCTCTAGTTTCAATGACAAATTGCCCCTGGTGAAAAGAAACTGTACAGTTACTACCCTGTAGTAGTTGAAAATGTAATTGTAAAACTTTGATTGTAAAAGAAATGCCTTAATTCATCTCCAAATGAGTAGGGAATTCAATTCTGAATGCCTGTAATGGGACTTACAACAACCATTTAAACAATCCTGCAAACTTACATTATGTTTTGTTGCCATTTCTCTTCCTTGTTCTCTTGTAATTTTCCGTAAATGCATTAGATCAACTTTGTTTGCCACCAAAATCATTGGAAAGGACTCTCTGGAAAAAATCAAAACCACCACCCAGTTATTAGCAAATTACAATAGAAAATGCTAGCATAAGTTTCACTTTCTGATACTGACATCATGTAAAGTTTTCCACTACAGACATACCATGTACATGTAAAGTAATATAAAGAAAGACCAAATGTCTTTGTGTCTGGCTACGTGACACAGAGAGCAAAGTAGTGCTGCAGGGCCATTACCCAGCTCTAGGATGGAGGAGGTCACCTCTGATAATTGACAGTTATTGCAGCATTATTTTTCTTATATTTAAACCCTCCTAAAATGATTCCAGTGTTCTCTGCTCTAACAGAGCTGATTTTATTGGGGTAAGGAGCAGCTGGCCAGACTCATTTCTGCATAAAACACTTCCCTGAGTAACTCTGTTTTTTCAAACAGCGTTTCTGTGTCATTTTTCATCGAGACGATAAGGGCTCCATCTTCTCTCTGGCATTCTGCCCCATTGCTCTGGCTGGAAAAATACTGTACTGCACTCTGCATTTCAAATGAGTCTTACAGTTATTCACTCCGATAATGTGGCTTCGATTTAATTTTAATACCTGAGCATTGATAAATCTTGACTCTGATCATTCTGGAGCAAAACACTTTCTTGTCTGGACTATGTGTTTCCTTTTTGGCTTGCAGCACCTTGATAAGAAAGAGATTGCATTTGGGCAGTATCTCATTTGCCTTGTTTACATCAGGCATAAAACTCTATGGAGACTTTGCTCCCTGTTATAAGCTGTGCGATTGCAAGTTGGACAAAGCTACTATAGTTGGAATTTTTACTGTAATGAAGGTTATGGAAGGAAACAGGAGGAAGGCTTTGAACAACTCTGGTAACACAGGCAGCCTGCAATTCCTTTGGATTTCAAGTTGCCAAAACTGACTGCTAGCTTGAAAGCCAAGGCGATGTTCTGCTCCCTGCGAGTCTGGCAGGACAGTTTCTTTACTCACACTGCTCCTGCTGCTGTGATTTTCTGAACGAGCTCAGGTTTTGGATGAAGCGTTCAGCTCCTCATGCTCTGCGCTGCAGTGGCATTGAGCGGGGAAACAAAAACAACCTCACCAGCCTGTTTCACTTCCTGCTTCTCACACGCTGGCTGCAGTGTTTGCACAGTGTACAGAGGGGTAAAAGTTTCAGACCAGAGCAAAACAATGAATACCACATCTTATTTTTACAAAGTTAAATTAGAAAAAAACAACATTGGTTTGGGCAGGTTATAGGAAACGCTGTCCTGTCTTCTTCAGCTTTCAGAAACAGACTTAATTTGCCCCAAGCTGAGCTGGCAGTGAAGAAAAGACTGTCCTTATCTGGGAGGCAGGCTGAGTGACTGACATTTTTCTTCATTTAGATGAAATCAAAGGGTGGTTTTTCCTTTACTTTTCACTCTTGTGGGCTCCGATCTGGAAGCATTACTGGAAGAGCTGTCAGCTGTGAACCTCACATGATACGAGTCCACCCTTCCTGTGGGGAAGTTATTCAGAGCTGTGAAAGGAAGCCAGCAACGAGGCCCGAACCCTCTGGTGGCTTTTCTTGATGACTTCCATAATTAAAAGCCATTATGAATGGAAAAACTAAGTGTTTTAAAGCTGCAGACATATAAGGGCTTAATTCACACCCCACCCAGTGAGGATGGATTCATCACCTCTTGAACTGTGGTGGGAAGAGGGAGTTATCTCAGAGATAAACCCCTGGCAGCCTCCCCTCACTCTGTCAGGATGCATTTGCTTACCATGATTCAACCCTCAGCGCTGCCTTCTCCCATGCACACACAAGAAGGGGAGCAGGCAGCCTCTCTTGCTTTCTTCCCAGTCACCCAGAGATGTTTTAGTTATTAAAAATGGTTGCTGCAGAGCATGATGCATTAACTGCATTACTCCCCTTGTAAGATATATTGTTCCTTCCAATGTGAGGTGTTTTTCCCTTCAAGGCACTTTTTCACAGCCCCAGATCATGCAGGACCTAAGGATTGTTTGGGACAAACTGAAGACAGGGAAAGGAGGATGCTGCCAGGACACACAAAAGGATTAGAGCTGAACGAACGCTTGCTGACTCCTTGCTGGGGTTCCCAAAGTACCTGCGCTGTGCACAGAGCATCCTTTCTCCCTCTTCAGAGCCAAACTGGTTACCTTCAAAGGGGTCTGATCTGCCTTTCTGACACCGCTCTGCCATACCCTTCTGGCAGAAGTTTCTCCCTTCCAGACCCATTTTCACTCCATTATAACACTACTGAACTCTTTAACGTTGAAAGCACCACATGCTTATCAGAAGACGTAAAACACTTCTTATTCCCCATATGTAGATTTGCAAACTCACACAAGGATTTGCCTTTGGACAGCCAAGGAAGGAAAAAGCAGAGTGATATGTGCAACTGTCTCCCTGGCATGGTCTCCAGAGTGGGGTCAGGCAGCACCCAGCTTCACAGCACCCACCTGTCCTTGACTCTGAGGATCAGCTGGTGGAACCGGTCCACGTGCTCGAAGCTCGCCTTGTCTGTCACTGAGTAGACTATAAGAAAACCATCTCCAGTCCTCATGTACTGCTCCCGCATTGCGCTGAACTCCTCTTGGCCCGCAGTATCCAGCACTAGGACAGAAGAAATGAAGGTTTTCAGTTACTGTGAGGACCTGTGATTGCTGTCATCACTATGTGTCCCACATGGCCTTTCTGCGTCCGCTGGGCTTGGTCCTCTCAAAGGCTGCAAGATTTGACACAAGCAAGTTGGATGGACAACATCGTTTCTTGTTACAAAACAAAAAATGCTCCTAGATCCTACTCATCGCTGTGTGCCTACACTGGGAGCAGATAGAGGGGAAGAAGACTACATGTATTTTACCTTCCTTTTCCAGTACCAAATACTGACCACTGAACTTGAGGAGTTGCTCCTCTAGCAAGATACAGCTCAAAGTATTTTGCAGCCCTCTAGCTTTCCCTCTCCCAGGTCTCTCTGTTCCCCACATGGAAAAACTCAAGACAGGAACAGTACATAAATGCCTATTTAAATGTCAGGGACAACCCACACTCTGTGGTGAGGCAGAGCTGAGAGACAACCCAGAGTAATAGCTACAAGAATTTTCCTTTTCTCAATACCTGGATATTATTTCTACACAATTATGTGCTTTCAGAGCAAGATGGCACAGCCTCGAGGAACTGCTCTTAAATATTTAATCCCAAGTGGTGTGCTGATCTTGAGAAGCTAGTCAAAACAAATGGAAAAAGCTTTAAGTGACTTGCATATCCTATATAGCGATCGTGTTTCTGTGCACTGACAATGCGTAAATCTACGCTCAAATCCCCTAAAACACCCCAGTTGTGGCCGCAACCCAGATGCTGTTCCCCACTAAATTAACCTCTTCTCTAATGTGACTATAACTCACTGGTTCTCCATCATTCTGCCTCGCAGGGGATCCCATCAGCTACATCACCGACCACAGGCAGAGCAAGCTACACCAACCTTCTGGGTGAACACCACATACCGATTCACATCATCAATGCCGGATCTTGGCTCCCAGCTTTGCCCACTGCTAGGATTTCGGCTGGCAGGAGGAAAGCATGAGAGGAATTAATCAGCTTAGGCTATGCCAGTACAAACATGCTATGAGCTCAAAATGCACCGGCTGCTGAGAAGTAATAGTCCTAATGCATCGTTGTATCTTAGAGGCAAATGCTGGACCTTTGAGATGACTGGAAATGTTTTCACATCCCAGTCAACTGGGCTGGGTGGGAAAACTGTTTCCGCCTCCGCTGTACAGCCACAGCCTTAGCATCTGCTGCTGACGAGTGATGGAGAAAGCCCAGGGCACCGGTGGATGAAGACTGCGGCAGGAGCGTACTGCTGACAGAGCAGCAGGCCTTGATATGGGTTTTTCGAGTCTGAGCAGGCCCACAGTCCTAGCAAGATGTTCCCTGTAGGGGTAAGTACTCAGGCTGCCCCGATTTCCAGATGGGGCCAGGATAAAGCCCACTTTGCTGCTGGTGCTACTTGCTGAATCAGCACAGGTGGCCACAGGTGGACACTCTGCATGTCTCGGCACACCCCACCAGCCAGCCCACGCCTTCACTATGTGTCTGGAGAAAAGGCAGCTATGCTGGAGGACCTAGAGACCTTACTTGGTGATGGCAGGCCCTTTACAGCCTTTGGCCTCCTTCGCTTGCTTGCCTTAGCTGGACTTGAATGCCTGTTTCCATGAGCCCTTAAGGTGAAAAAAGCTTCTAGGCTTTTGCAGAGACCCTGAGATTTAGACTTGTTTGCCAAGTAGCTAGAGCTTGCTGCAAAGTCACGGGTGTCTCTTCATAGCCTTTTATCCTGCTTCTCTGAATCTAGGAAACAAGGGTCTCAGCTCAAAGGCATCCAGGCTGTTCTTAAAGACTGTACAAAGAAAAGAAAACAGAAAAACAACCCAAAGACACTGCATGTGCTGCTGAATTTCTATGCCCTGGGCAGAACTGCTGCCGTGGAATAAGGCCAGGAACACATGGCTGGGACGGAAGAGGAAATTAATCCTTCCTACCCACCCAACCTGTAAGGAGAGGCTGGGCTGCCCTCATCTGACTCCTGCAGCACCAGCTGGACGTCATATCAGGGCAGGACTGAGAGCTGACAACCAACACACTCACAAACACACACTCCCTTTCCCTCTCCAACACACATGCCCAAATTGTGGAGTGGGACAGCTTCTCACAGGGGGCCAGGCTCTCCTGCCCTTCCTTTCCCCCAAGACAGGGCAGGTGCCCGGGTCGTGGGCAGGAAGGTGGAGATGGATGTGCCGTATCCTCTGTGGTAATTTGCTTAGGGACTTCCCCTTGCTCTGCCACATTTGCAAACCTCCATCCTTATCTGCTGCCTCTCCAAAGCCTACCATCCCTTGCGAAAGGGCAGGGGATGAGCCCAGGGTGAGCTGTGGGGATACCCGAGGGAAAGCACAGGGCTGCGGTCCTGCCACTCCTCTGTCGCTTGGATCTTGGCCATGGCATCACACTGAACACAGGCACAGCTGCTGTGTCAGCAGCTGCTATTTAAAGGGAATTCACTTGCAGCGTTCATAGAAAGGCGAGCAAGTCCAGGCAGCATTTAAAATGGCACTTTGGAAATGCAAGTGAAAGACATGCCCTGGTGCAGGTTAAGGTTAACCTCAGAAGAGTTATTCATGCAAAGTTAAGCATCATGTGGATGGCCAGAGAGAGTCCTTGTTTTAACTTTAAATGTGCTCTTCATAAAGACAATCCCCATCCTAACACTTCTGTGCTACATGAATTGTAAACAATCCAGAGTGCGATCTGGATCCTTCGTAGGCTGGACGGGACCACATCCTGGAAAGCATCAGCACCAAAAATGGACCAGATGCAAGCAACTTTGCTTCTGGTGTAATCTTGTGTCATAAAAGCTTCAAGAAGACTTATCTACAGAAATGGGAAAGTAGCAAGGAGAAATCTTGGGAAGGGGAAACTGGAAAGGTGATTTGACATTTAGGATGTTAGCCAGCAGCCATCATCTTTTAAAATCCCCATTTCTGCAGACAGGATGCCAGAAGACATAATCATTGAGCAGAGAACGGCAAGCTTTCTCCTCCTCCAGTACACTTTAGAACCAGCAGTTGCCTCTTACTGGCAGTTGCCCCACTGGCAGTGCATAAAAGCTGGTGTGGAAACAAGGCTGGACCAAAGCACAGAGGGTTTCCCCTACTTCATTCTTTCAAGAACTGAAATAACATTTATCAGCTACACAGTGCATGGTCAGTGACTTCCAACAGCAAACTTGGGGAAGTTCCTACAAATTTGACTGAAGAAGCAGCAAGGAGCAGCATTAACAAAAGTGTTCAGGTGAAGAGCGAGAAAAGAGAAGCCAAGGGCTATGTCTGATGTAGGAAAAGTGGGCAAAGCCGTTTTACAGAGCTATCATGCAATCAGTTGGAGACTAAACTAAGAGCAATTAGGCTGTGAGAGCCCAGTGGGGAGGTCTCTTACTTTGCAGGTAAGAGGTTGCTCAGCAAAGAGATGCCCTTTTCCACTTTCCAGTGGATGTGAACCCAACTGTTGTGATGAGCTCCTTGCTAATTGAATCCTGCCCCCTTAGAGCTTCCCACACCGTGTTCCTGTGAATCCTGACGGGTTGGGCAAGAGCACAGCTGCTTAGAGAGCACTTCTGAGCAGACACAGGAGCTCAAAAATACAGAGAAATCTGTGGCCCAAAATAGAAGCACTCAGTGCTTCCAGGTATTCTATGTGGTGATGTCTCTGCAACCGACAGTGCTGTGAGTGCCCATCCAGAGACTGAGGCATGTAAATCTAAGCCAGGAGCAGAGCCATATTGTGAAATCTAAGTCACGGCATTGCTTTTCAAGAGCCTAGGCTGGATTCAGTTCAGACTCAAACACAGCCTTCCCAGCCTTCAGGGAGCTCAGATCTGGTTGTGCAGGTGAGTTCCATTTCTCTTCTCATACCTAGGCAAAATTCCTTCCTACGTCTTTATCTTTACATTGCCGGGCAACTAGGTGTATAGATCAACTCAAGAGAGTTTCTCCACTGTCCGTGGCCTCTAAGGGGCCAAAGATGACCAGACAGGCAGGTTAAACCCATTTTCTATCCTTCAGTCCTTGGGTTTCACTGCCCAAACCAAACATCAGCGGCCTGTTCCAAGCAGCACATCGCAGCAGCCAGTCCTGAAAGCAGGTCAGCGCAGCTCCTGGAGCATCCAGAAGAGTGGCTGCATGTAATGAGGCTTAGGGACAGGACAATCTCAGAAAGGTGAGCACAATGTGTACGACTTGATTTTTGCAAGCAGTCTCCAGTGAAATCCTTTTGGTTGCATACATCCAGCATGTGTGCAAGCCTTTAAGGGGCTGCACCTGGGTTCACAGCAGCAGGGAGAGAAGCAGCACAAAGCAGCCTGATGCCAGGCATTTTCTGCTTCTTCAACAACTTCTTAATGCAAAATACAGGAGAAGTCCCTGGAGCGAAGCGCAGAACTGGAAACGTGGCACTGTCAGGGGAGTGCTACCATCACGGGATACAGAGCCAGACTCCTCTTTGCACTTCTCTCTCCGAGTCTTGCTTTGAGTCTTGCTCTTGGCACTGCAGCTCTGCTTCAGCAAGTGGGGCCAGAGAGAAGCTCCCTCTCCAGTAGCTAAGCTCAAGGGAAAACTTAACTTGAATTGACAAGTCAAACCAAAGAATCTCAGGCTGAGGAAAGCTATCCCCACAGTCTTCACTTTCCTTCCACCAGCAGTGCAGTGGAAGAGGGCAGCCCACACATTGGCCACTGGCTTCAGATAAGGAATTGGTATTCTGGGTGCTGAGCAGATGGGGTGCAGGCACCATGGCTTATATTCTGTATTCCCACACCCCAAAGAGGTATGAGGTGCCTGTACTGTGAGCAACATGAGGTAGATGCTTCACTTGGTCACTGATGGTTCTGCTCCTTCCCAGATAAAGCCACACTGCCTCTGGCATGAGCTTTCCTCAGGGTAAAACACGTGACGGGGAAACACTGGGGCTTTCATGAGCCCTCCTTCTGTGCCCTAACTAAATACACAGATGTTATAACATGGAAAACCAGAGTACTTGAATTCTTGCCCTTTCTGTAATAAAAAAGAAAAGAGAAGCCTTCAGAAGAAAGGCTTCCACATCAATAAACAGAATAAAGATGCGAGCCCTTAAAGGAGCTCTTTCTCTAACAAAGGGCAAGTATTCAAAGCCTTGTGTTTTCCATGTTGCAACATCAAAATTTTCCTGGCAGGAAAAAAATCCCCACAACCCAAGACAAAAAACGCTCTTCTGAGGTTGCAAAATCCCAGCAACTAAGGGAGGGAAAATACTGTACACACAAATAAAAGAATGAAAGTACAAACTTAATTTGAACTTTAATTCTTTCAATGATGCTACCCAAAGTTTAAATAAAAAGGAAGCAAGCTGCAAACCAATCCTGCTGCCTGCAAGTCTGAAGTGACCTTTGATGTCCCTCTGGCCTCCTGGCTGAATTGTTCCCAAGCTTCCTGAGGAGAAAAGCAGACAGCCTGTCCTGGGATGACTAGCAGCAAAAACTCTCGGCAAAAAGGGATGCATGGGAGACACGAGTGGAAAGGGCAGAGGGAGCCTAGGGGAAGAAACGGTGCTTGGTGTTACTGCACAGGGTGCACAGCAGGGCTGTGCAGTTCTAGCCCAATGCAAGGGCACCCAGGGATTGAGAGGTGACTTGGGAAGAAGAGAAATAAGAAGGAAAACAGAAGCACAGGAATAGAAAGACAACTTCTATGAAGTGAGAGTTGCATCTAAATCATACCAGGGGAAGGAAAGGGAAAAGGAGGGAGAGCACAGCCTTCTTTCACCCAACATACAGGCAAAATTCCTTGCTTTGCTGCTACCAGTTGGCACAGCTGTACTGACAGCCAAGGGCTCAGCCCAATTCATCAGCACATTCAAGCCATCTCTTCCTCTCCTCTTCCACACCACCTTTTTATCTTTGTGTGGTTTATGAGCCATAAGGAATTTTGAACCATGGAGAATTTTTTGCCATATTAAAGTATTCCACTTTTGGCTTCATGCCCAGATTAATAATTCCAGACTGGCATTTTGCAGCCATACCAGAAGAAATCCTCTGCTAATTGCTAAGTTAGCCTGCACACAGAAAGTGGTGTACAAAATTAATGATAGCAACTCAACTTGAGCAACAGCTAATCAGAGCAGATTAACCCTGGCCCCCACTTAATTCTGACCTGATGTGTCTATATGGCACCTGTGTGTGAATACAGTTAACCAAGCGCATCACCGTCCTGATTTCCTTATGAACAGCAGGGAATAAATGAAGATAATATATGCACATAAAACTGGAGGCTGATCTTAAAGCCTCGTTGGGGTGCCAGCAACTGAAAAAATGGGCTAACCACAAGTTGTCTGTACGTCCCTTATTCAGGTTAAGCGCCCTGTTCCACCCTACGACACTCATCCTCCAAATACTGCATCAATGGCCTTATAAAGCTGGCTGAAGACCAACAATAAAGTATTTTTGTGTAGTGTTGGACTTGAACATGTCAAGCACAGGTCCCACAGCCTTCTGGGAGGCAAGGAACTATCACATACTCCTCTGTGGGAAGAAAATAGACACAAAGCCAGAGAGCAAATATGTAAAAGAAGAGTTTGAATGTAGATTTGGCTCCAAGGTCTAAAATCTGAAATAAAAGCCTATTGCATTTAAGTCTACTTTCAGCAAGAGATTTCAGCAAAGGAAAAAAAATGCAAGTCAAACATGTCATCACGCTGCCAGTTAGTGCTATTGAATAAATGTGGGTGGAGGTCTTCATGGAAGGAAGCCAAATGCGTTATGCAAGCTGGCTAGCACAAGGGGATTTTTTTACAACATAATGCTGGTGCAGATACCAAATGCTGGAGAGGCTTTGTACAGAACTGCTCAGGCAACAGCCTGGAACAGGGTGGGCTGTGTTTTATTTTCTTTTATTTTTTAATTAAGTTGTTGGATGCCAATGTATTTGACTTTTTTTAAATAACTATTTCTGCAAACTTAGAAACTTACAGAGCTCCTCACACTATATCCTCACTTGGTAGTCTCATCTTCTAAAACTTGTTCCTATTTTGGGGGTGGGCAGCTTCTTCTTTTCACCAAGCACTGCATGAAACATCAGCTTGTAAAGGATTTGGTCATACAGGACAACTGGGAAGTCTAGAATTTATCATGATGCATCTTTACCCTTCCTATCACATTTGTCCCTGATTTTATACCATACGTGCTTTGTGTAACCACAACAAGAGCAGCTGTCCAAGTATATGGTGACCTCCGAGAATGGCCTAGATCCAAAGCCCATGACAGAAACCTGTGTTAGAAGATACATGTGACAGTCAGTCTTCATGCCCTGTTTCTACTGGGCAGATGGCAAAGGCTTGCATGCTTGAATAGAGCCTTTCTTTCAAAGTTCGGATTGTTCATAATCTCAAACAGACGGAATGAGAAAGAAACACAGTTTCACTTCTGTGGCTGCAAGGCATCTGTGGGCACACAAACTCTGAAAGTCAGGGATTCCCAATGTGCCAGGCAACGACACAGCTGAATTCAGCTCAGCCCGAGTACAGCCACTAAACTCCATCTGAGCAAAAGAAAGGCTTTCTCATCAAAACAAAGAGTTAAGTTTCTGCTTGTTGGAAAACAACCTCTTTCTCCACTCCCACTCAGGTCAAGGTTGGTTTTTGTTGTTTTGTGGTGGTGGTTTTTTTTGGGTTTTTTTTGTTTGTTTGTTTTTTTACACTAAACAAAAATCCCAGATATTCAGTGAAAGATGCCTTTTCTACTTCCAAATAATTTACAAAAACCAGGCTGTTTCAGCCAACACCAATGTGTACAGCAGCTGGTCCTGTTATATCAGAACATGGAGCATACCAGTGAAGATAAGGTTGCTCGTTTTAGAGGGCTGAATTCTGGACTAAAAATAATAGATTTCATTTACAGTAGGATTGGATTTTTCTTTTATACAACACTGGCATTTCAAAAATAAAGGTGCATGGGTACATAATGTGATGGTTAACTGAGAGCAGATATCTCTGATGTAGATGACAAGAGAGACACCACCACCCTCCAAGTTCCACCACTCATGCCAATCCCCCAGTTTTCTGTCCTCACACACCAATCCACATGCAGAGACACCCAAGATATGAGCACCTTCATGATAAGAGGATGGAGGTAGGAACTCCCTGCAAGTGACATTAAATTTAGGCCAGTTGTGCTAGTGGTCGCATACATGCACTTGGGTAATTAAGGCACAAAACAGCTGCTTGCTTTTATGTACTACCTAATTACTGTATAAAACCAAATAAAACTTATAACATTTAACAGCAAGATTCCCCTTATGGATGTGGTAAGTCTGTCTCTTGCAGAAAAAATTAGTAAGTTGCAGCTTTTGGTAATAGAGGGCTTTTTCCTTACCTGCGGAATCAAGATGTTTTGGTATTTTGGGGTTGAGTGGTTTGGGTTTTTAATTGTTGTTTGGTTGTGGTTTTGTTGTTTGTTTTTTTGTTTCTTTAAAGAAAGCTATTTTTCTTCAAAGAACTGAAAGATCTTGTTACAGCAGTCCTCCAGGCTGGTACTGTACCCATATTTAAATGAAACAAGTAACCAGATATGAAAACATCACACCTGAATGATGGGATTTACAGGTGTTACAATTCTTCACTGTCAGTGGATTATAGCTTTGATTAAATGGTCTTTCTGGTTATAACCCTCATTCACTTACCCACTCACTGTTATTTCCCAGGGGATGAGCCTAGTTACTTGCAGTAGTATCTTGATACACCTCACAGTGTTATAACTCAGCCTATGGAGAAGTCCACCCCAAATGTATATGATGATCTGTAAGTTTTCACGCTCCTGCAAGAAACATTTGTGTGCAGGACTGGAACTAAAGCAACCGGAAGCAGAAGCTCTGCTGGAGGTCACCTGCAGACCACGCACTGCAGCCCACAGACCAGTTTGCACTCCAATCCCTGGCAACGCACAGCCGAGAAGGAGGGACACAAGGGCACAACACGCTGTGGGAGGCCTTAAGGTCTATTTGCACTTGTGCTCAACTAGAAGGGAAAGGGGACCACGACAGCAGCTTGCTTACCATCAAGAATTGCCCATTGCCCATCTATTTCTGTGTGCTTCAGGTAGGAGTCTTCAATGGTTGGGTCATAGTCTGGCACAAAAATCTTCTGGAAAAACTGGATGGTGAGAGCACTCTTCCCCACGCCACCATCTCCAACCACCACCAGTTTGTATGTGGGGAGATTTTCGCTGGGAACAGCACTTGTAGCCATGCTTCCAGTGTGCTAAACCTGCTGGAGAAAGAGATCACCTCCAATCACTTGATAGCAACAAAAAGAGGGCAACATGCACAACGCAGCTTTACTTGCTGCCTAAGAAGAGAGGCTGAAGGCAGTATTGACATCCAAAAGTCCTTTTGGGCAGAAGAGGCAGCACCTACCCCCCTCAACAGCTCTACTGCAACCAGACCCATCACTTAGAGGCGCAGACAGCCCCACCGCTGTGACTTGTTTACTCCTGCCTCATCTACAAGGATTGCTAATTGCCACCAAATGTGTGCATAAAACTTTTACCACCTGAATACCTTTCCTATAGAGACTGGGCCCATGTGGCCAAGCCAAAAATCACCCTGGCTCAATGCAGCTGTCAAGTTCCAGATTGTTTCCAGTTGCCAGTGACCAAATCCCATTGGGAAGCCAGAGCCTTGCTACTCTTCACTGCTTAACCCAGGGTACAGCAAATATTAAATGGTGCATTTTGTCCAGGGGTCAGATCTGCTGGCAGAACCAGTGGTGACGGATGAAACCAGAGTTAAAGGTCCAGTCTTGGCTCCACTGGCAGACGAAAATGCGCTTAGCTGCCTTCTTCTCCCTTGATTTCAAGTTTGAGAAATAAAAACAAGAAGGCAGCAGGCCAGGAATGACAGGTGTTTTTTTGTTTTGCTACTTTTTTAAATAAAAAAAACCCAACCCTGCCATGGCAGGAAGGTTGGTTTCTGTGGCTATGACACAGCCCAGAGAGCCAGGAGAGCAGCTTCCTCTGCAGCGCGGTCACACTGCTCCCCTCATCTTCGGCGAGCTGCAGAGGAACCAACTCTTTAAAGAAAGACAAAAAAAAATTGCTGGCTGCAACTGGGCAACGGTGCATGTGTGTGGAGAAAGGAGAAGAGGCAGCCACTGCTGAACAGCCCATTTCAACACTCACCAGCAGTGATCCCTTATTTAAGCAGCAGCCAGGCGAGTGGCTTTGTACGTACGCTGCAGAAGGCAGTGCCTCCCACCCCGTCTGCCGCACATGGGCAGCAGCAATGCTCACTTAAATCACATGGGCAATGGGTGGCCATCTCCCAAATTTGAATGGCCATTGCATTTTCAGACATAAAAAGAAAAATAAAATTTTAAAACCCACCCTAATGATAAGGCTCAAGAGAGGGCAGTTGATTTTCTTGACACAAGTCATATACAGCATGGGAGCAGCTGTGGTGACCCTTTCTGCAGGAAGCTGCTCCCATCCATTTCGGTTCTGCTCGAGCCCTTCAGGCTGCAGGGGCTGGCTGGGATCAAGGCTGGGGGGGAACAGGGATTACTCTGGACTACCTGCTCTGAGGAGGCCTCCATCAACTGTTGGCATCCCAATCTGTAACCCCTCTTCCCCACACAAACTTTTGGAGGCTTTCCCAACAACCGCAGGGATTTCTCTTCATTAAGGAGAGGACTTTATCTTTGTTGGTCTCAGAGACCACCAAGCACAGCTGATGCACTCAGTGCTGCAGCCGGCCCAGATCAGCCCTTGACAGAGGGCTTTTCACAGTCATTTCACAGCTCTACTAACCAGCTTCCCCCCTCCCCCTACCAAACACTCACCTTCCCATGCACACAGACAAGTGCATGAAAGGAGACAAAATAAAACCACTTGTGAACATTCACATTTCAGTTTAAATTTTACTTCTAGAAAAAAGATCCTCAGGCCAAAGCAGCTGTGGAAATTGAGCCATAATCTAAAATAGAACTCCCATAACATTCAGTGTCAGCAGGTGACCTGAGGCATGCCATGAGATAACCACTCAAAACATATCAATGCCCAAAGCCCATATCAAAATGATGAAACTTGAGTGATTCACCTCATGTTTTTTCTGTCCACAAGATAGGGATAAGAACAAGGCAGACATGAGAAAAAGCTTTCCGTGATACTTCTTGCCTTTGATCACCACACCATAATCCAAATAGTGCCAGCAGGACACAACTCTGTGAGCTACATTTCCACCTACAATCACAGCTCAACTCCAAAAGAGAAAAATTTCTAAAATGAGGAAGTGTCCTCTCCTCCAATCTTCCCCAGTACTACGTTGTGTATGATAAGGTACAGCAGGAGCTTGAGAAACATTTGCAAATAGAGAAATAACTTACCATATGCATAACCTACATGGTGTGCAGGTTAAATGCCTCGACCTCTAATTAAGGTCATATGCTGGATACTTTTCTTGAACCAAATGTATAGGAACTATCTTAGTTTCTCCTCTAAAAAGAGAATCCCACTGAGGCTTCTAAGAACTGCAAAAGCCTCTTGTCCAAATTGAGGCAAGCCAAAATTTTCAGAGCAAGAAAAAACATGACCAAGTCTGCTTGTTTCTGAACTATCTTTGGAGAAATTCTTGAGAACAGTAAGAATCGCCACTGCAGGCAACAGCTGCTGGATGGGGAGAAGGAGACCAAGGGAAAAGTTTCTTACCCCTATTTTAGGGAGAATAAGCAACTTTCTCATGTTTACAAGATAACATAATCAACAAGCACCATGCTTGGCTGGATATAAACCTATGAATTTCAAAGATATTTCTAATTTTTCATTGGCAGACCAAGTTTTTTTCCTGCGTAATCCCGCCAGGGCCAGACGATCCTCACAGGCTCTTTAGGACAGGGATCTTGGCTGAAACCCTGCCCCCCAACACTTCTGACAACAATTTTTTGTTTTTCCCATGGCCAAGATTTCACCCCATCTTTCTTTACACAGCAGAGCAGCTCTGGCCAGGCAGTATGAAAGGCCGATTGTTACAGACATGGTGGGGACAGGCCATGGATGTGAAAAGCATACGCTGTTTGTGCACAATTTTTGACCTCATTGTAAAACCACAAGCTACTGCTTGGCAGACAAGTGTTACATTTTCATTGTTATGTTGTACCAGCCCCTTCAACTCTCTTCTAAGAAGCCTTGAGCTTATCTTGCATGAAACCCACCCCAAAGAACTAGGATAACATTTAGCCCATTGTACAAACTGTGACTCTGCTCAATACACTTATGGGTTGAACTGGGGCATTTGCTTCCTGTCATTTCCCAAAGTTTGGTCATACTGTACGTCTCAACTACCAGACCAAGTATTATGTAGCCTGAGGAGAACAGCTAGAATGGAACTGAAAAAATATATAATTAAAAAAAAGTCAAGTCCTGTAGGCTGGTTTGTTGAGCACAAAACACCATATTTTAGGTGATGATAGCATGAACAGATGAAAACTTTGTGTTGAGTGTCAAAAGACAGCAAGATTAGATGTTTCTGCAGGGCTGCTTCTACTGCTTATGGAAGCACTCCTCCTTTTACTGAGATGGCAGGCCCCACGCTCCCAACAAGCAGGTACGTAACACAACCCTCTGAAAGCCAAGTACATCAATCCTCTACACCTCCACCTGCCCTGATAACCAAAGCAAGAAGACAGCTCGTGCCTTGATGAGATTATAATCTAAACCAGCCAATAAATCAAACCTTAAAAACAACTTATGTCACCTCCTGGAAAATACTAAAACACTCCCAAAGGTGTGCAGTGCTTCCAGACAGGCTGGTTACATCACTACGGGCAAGTGCACAAGATTTGGGCTGATTTTCCTGTGTTTTTGGCAAGAGTACTGACACAGTCCTCCTCAGATGGGAGCAAGAATAAGCATGTTTACTGTAGATCTGACTGAGAAAAATGAAGCACAGACGTTTTTATCTATTGTCTAAATACAAAGCAGCATGTGGTAATACGCTAATAAGCTCTGATGATAATCATCATACAATTTATATAGCTGTTTATTTTGAAAGAGCCAAGAGAAGGATCCATATCCTATGCTGACGAATGCCGTCAGGGCTCTGGTTAAGTCACTGGAAGGCGGCTGATTTACACCACCGTATTCATACATGCCAGCAAGATCTGTGTCCTGACAGCACAAGCCAGTAATGCTGAGATAGACAGAAATGTGCCTACTTCTGGGATAAATGGCAAGGAAAAAAGAGAAACATTTACCCAAGAGTGTCACTGAGGCTGAACCTCCTCTTCAAAAAGGATTTCTTATGGAGGCAGAATAAACTGAGTAAAACCCCATTTACCTGTCTGGACATGGGGATGGAGTGGAAGGGCTGAGCTATCCACTTGGAGCAGCCAAGTAATATAAAACCACCAAAGACAGAGAAATTCAGCTTAGTTTGTGCAACTGGACCCTCAAGACTCAATGGGTCACCACAACATACAGGTAGTGTATCTAATCTCCATTCTCATTGCAAAACTTGCCCTGAATGCAAGTGGGACAGACGCTTGCATAAATCATTATGATTTCTGTTCATCTAGCAGAGGTATGGCCACATACCACAATAATAAAATTCACCCCAGATATTTGGTATTTGATGTGTGAGTACCCCTATCCCTGGATCCAGCTCAGCTCTCCTGAAGGCAGAGCTTCCAGTGCAAAGCCATTACAGCAGGTGACGAGTTCAGAACCAAGCCCTGGATTTGCAGGGAAGGTTTGTGCAATTAAAGACACTGGCTCCCTGACAGAGAAGCCCAGCATGACAGTGATTTACAGTCTCCATGGCAACATGCGACACAAATTACTTAATTCTGTTATGAAACCTCAAGAAAAAGCTTCAGCAGGGTCTGTGCAGGAACCACCAGCTCCCTCCTCCTCTGCTGCTGCTCTCCAAAACCGACAGCTTTAGAGATCCCACAGCCGCTATAGCAATGGGCTGAGATTTAGCATATACTGAGGTATATGCATGCATGCTGACCAATTCCATCAGTCCGTGGCCAAGGGAATTAGTCTATCACCAGCTTGCTTTGATCCATGGATAGCTCTTCACATACACCCTATCAGAGCTCTGTGTACCTGAAGACACCAACCTCACCTGAGGCCGAGGACAACTATCAGCCACGGAAGTTGCCAACTACTCCTACGGTTGCAATTAATAACTCTTCCTCTAGCCACAGCTCACTGGATTACGCCCTTCTACCCAGCCACTTTGCAGGCATTAGCAGCTCCATGCAATGCCTAC